GAAGCCGTTAACGATGTGAGTCTCCGCCCCGGAGAATGCGTCGAGGTGGACAAGATCCAGCAGGGCGTGCAGACGGAATCCAATCTTGACGGTCAATGGATCGCCGGGGTGTTGGACCGCCCTTCGGGGTTGGTGGTCACGATCCGAGGCTCGGAGGCTGAGTCCGATGAGGAGAAACCTTTAGTCTTTCACCTGAATAGTAAAGCGTTTCCGAGATGGTACTACGACTGGGAAAGCGGTGCTAACAAGGCGCAGAGACTCATGAAACATACGTTGAAAGCGTATGTGATGGAACGCGTCGCCGTGGACATGGACGACAATTTCACGACCATTTCAAGTCGAGAGGCGTTCACTCAGCTGTATCGCGTGCTGCATGTGGTATCGTCGCCTGAGTTTACAGTCATTTCGTACCGACGAGCACCACTGGATCAATTGCAAGCTGCACAAGCACATGCTGCAGCGCAATTGGCCAAGGGACAGACTCTGCAACAAGTGAAGGGAGAGCCACTTGGACTTCAAGTCGGAGGTGCGTCGCCCAGCACTCTCCGGGCTATGGGCATGTCGAATCAGATGCTTCAGCAAAGTGTTTACTCGCCGGCGCATAACGCGAGCGTGATGCCAATCGTTGGCGAACATGGCGTTATTAATACAGCGTGGAGTGGGAGAGTTTCCTCGCGAAGAGGTAATTCGTATGATGATGATGATGATGCCAAGCGTCAGCGTCGGATTCCTTCGACAAGGCCAAGTGGTCAGGAAATGATACACCCGCTCGAAGATAAATTGTTCTGGGAGCACGTCAATGCGCCCGCCGTGGCGGTATCCAAGAATATGGCTCTAGTTTTCGCTTTCGTCCGCTGGGCTCCTGTAAGACTTTATGCGCCGTTTGTGGGTGAACTTGTGGACTCGATCAAGCTCAAAATGCTTACTGTTACCACGTCGACGTCGAACGCGAAGAAAGCCAATAAGATGGATTGTTTCTCGCGGCTACTGCTTCAGCACGCTCGCATAGAGGAGAATTTACGAGCTGCTGGAGGCGCTATATTCCCGCTAGAGCTGGAGACTTTACTTCGAGTGGCCTCCCAGACGGTGCTGTGGTTGTTCTCTGGGGAGACGCTTGGCTGGGTACGAGAGTTTTTCTGTCTCAACGCCGCCCTTGTATTGGACAAGAAGGCGATCCGTTCATGTTTTATTCAGTTTCTGCATGAACTAGAGAAGCGTCTAAACACTGAGGTAGTTGCGGCCTCTATACTGCGTAGCCTGTCCAACGTGGCGGAACAAGTGATTGCAGCGGTGTATTCGCATGAATGTTTCCACAGCCGTCGACCGTTAGTGCGGCATATCCTAAGTGGCCAAAGTTTCGCTGGATGGAACATGTTTGTTGCTCAGATGCGAGAAACGTATATTAGCACTATGAGCTCGGCCAGCCCTTCCCAATCTATCGAGCGTAACGCCACTTTTAAGATGACTTTCCCTTCTCGCAATGCTGTCGAGCGCAGCTGGAATGGACAATGGGTCTTGGACATGGACGATGTCCAGTGGGATGTCAACGAGGTTAGTTCTTCTCCTGGTCGCAAGATCAATGCTGATCCGAGAGTGCCGGATGTGTCGCTGTTCTCATTGGTCGAGCTTATGTCACAAGTCGTCCGATTTGAGCTAGCGATTGACATTGAAAGCAGGTCTGTTCGTGTTCGAGCGCCACAAAGTTTGGCTGGACGTTTGGATTGTATGCACCTGGTGCTAGACGGCAAAGCTCGCGTGTTTCGTATGTTTCCGAACGGGATCTCGTCGTATGCCGGAGAAGGATCTCAAGGAGATTACTTTGGTGAAATGCGCGTCGAGGCACCGGGCCAACTGGTCATTTTCCTCGAGATCTTCCGCTGGTCACTGGAAGTAGGCACTCCGTCCTACCATGTGCGCTCATGTATCGAGTTCCACAGAAATGGGCGGCTGGCTGTCAGAGGTGATATCCTGGTGACTACAGGGCCGAGCACATTCACAGCAGAAGAAATTCCGTACGTGGGAGAAATGAGTCTGCGTGCCAAGCGTAAATCAGTTGAAAAGGCTGCCGCAAGGCATTCCCAACCAGCCTCAGGTGCGCCGAGGAATAATTCGCCCGTTATTCCCTGGGGTGAGTACGGTAGGTTCCGGTTGTGCTATAGCAAAGTGTAGCGTGGTCTGAAAGGAATACTGCTAAAGTTCCAGTGGTTTGTTATGTTAGTACGGTGACTAAAACGGTGGCCAAGCTAGTTATTCTCCTTCACTTTGGTCATGCTCCTGATTTCTGTAAGCATTGTTTTAATACATGCACTAGATGCAAGAGTGGAATTGTGCATAGGAAATTGTCGACATGAAACAGGTTAGCAACTTTTCAAGATCAGGTTTGACGAGATCAAAACCGAAGGATATGAAAACATGACTACAGGTTCTTAGTAAATGTACTTGTACTTAAGTAGTTTCAAGCTGGAGGAGCCTAGACAAAAGCAATGGATTTTCATACGGAGGTATCATCTCTATTGTTTTTTGGCAAGCATAAACTAGCGATTTAGTTTTCATCACTCCGGTGTTTCTTGCTTTTCTTGTTCTTCTTGGTCTTCTTCTCCTTGCCAGCAGCGCCACTCCGCAGTGCATCCATAATCATAGCCACATCAGCACTCTTCGCAACCTCCTCCTTGCGTTGTTCGGCCTCCTCTTCAGTGAGCTGAGCAGCTTTGCGTTTCTTGGACTTCTTCTCCTTCTTGTGTTTCTTACGCGTCTTGGTACCCTCCTCAGGTGCTTCGTCACCTTCCACCACATCCTTAAACAGGTCGGCGATCTTCTGCTTCTTCGTATAGAGCGCCTCCCACTTCTCGCGACTCTGCTTGTACTCGAACAGGTGGCACGTATTCATCACGAGCTGCGAAAAGTGGCTTCCGCTAAGTTGCGTCTCCACAGCAAGAAGTTCGTGTACAACTGCCTCCTTTTTATCCAGCGGCAGGTCCTCATAGCACTTCATGACCGAGAAAGCACCCAGACGATCCATAGCCAGCGTACCGAATTTGCCCACGAATCGCTCGTACAGCTCCTCCCGAACCCACGCCGTACTGGGATCTTTAGACTCCCAAATAGGCTCCACAATGCAGCGGCTACCAGTGGAATCCTTGGCCAGAGCCATCAGCTGTACAGAGTTGAACGAGAGAATGCCCTTGTACAGCGGCGTCAAATACTCTCCAGCTTCGAACTGCTGCATTTGCTCGATAATCTTGGCGCCCATGACGTTCAACTGCACTTTGGCCGACGTAGCAGATGTCGAGAGCTGGACGTTGAGCAGCGATGCCACGAAGTTCTTACGAACCGCCTCTGGCTTCTTGCTCTCCTGCTTGGCCACAGCGCTCACAAGCGCCTCGAATACTTCTTTTTGGTGCAGTTTAAACTTGACACACATCTCCACCACACGCCAGATAACACCAGGTCGACCCATGGATAACAGCGTCCATAGAGAAGCCTCCAGTTCCTCGAGTACTTCCAACGCTAGAGCCTCGGTACGCACAAGTTTGATGGCATGCTGAACGACGTAGTTGGCGATGTTGTGTTCAGCCAGCTGCAGCATCTTGCCACGCACACAGCGCTGAAACACCTTCGAGAAGAACTTGTCGCTGCCGCTCTCGAACAGAGCCTCCAGCAAGTGGCTGGTTACGGCATCGGCTGCCAAGTCATAGAAGCCGCGCTCGCACGCGTCCTCGTCCTCCCATTGAAGAATACGTTCCGCTAATTTCCGCCGGCTCTTCGAAGGTGCCAGCTTCAGCGCCGAAGCGATCAGCGGACCCGAGTTCTGATCGTACAGCAGGTTCTGTAGTTCATGCGTCGGGCTCTCGATCAGCACAGCCAGCAGTTCTTTAAACAATTTTTCAAACGAGCCCGGTACGTCGTAGGTAACCTCCGATCCATCCTTGCCAGGACGAGCTTCTGTGAATGTTACAACACGGTGTTTGGCCTTTTTGCCACGTTTCTCGGGCACGAGAGGCTTCCCAGCCAGCACTGCAAGCACAGAGCGTAGCACGTGACTGGCACTCACGTCATTCATCAGAGTGATCCACTCGTTCTCCACCTCTTTGACCATATTGATGATGACGTCGCTCATAGGTGGGATCTCCTTCATCCTGTCGTCCTCGTCGTTATTCTGCTCCTCCTCGTCTCCATCCACCTCTTTAGCCACCACGACACTAGCACGTGACAGCAAATGTTGCAGTACATGGGACGAGTAGCGGTTGGTCCACAAATGGCTCATGTAGCCCGCCATCTTGTGCAGCAAAAAGCGCAGCTGCGCGTCGCTCATCTTGGGCAGGAAAACCTCCAGCAACTCACCGGCGTGGCGGTCCGAGGCAGCACTGGCAGCACGCGGTGCAAGCTCCTCCAGAACGTTCCATAGCAGAAGCTCCACATCGTCAGCAGTCGAGTCTTCGCCCTGCTGCGTCAGCATCTCCGTCACCTCTTTGAGGTAAGACAATGTGTCGGGTTCCAGTCGACGCGGACGCACACGTCTGAATTACCACGAAAAAGCTATTGTCAGTTACATATTGCAGTGAATAGCTGGTGTTGATGAGCGTACTCGGGTCGCTGCGGCGCCTGCGCCTCGTATTGCTCATGCTCATTCATAATTGAGCTCTACGACGGTTGATACACAAGTGACGGTCTTCCAACCAAGCAAAAACAGTAACTTCATGTGGCTTACACGATTGTTACATCGCACATTTCAGGTGGAGAACATGATTGTTACAGTACCTTATCCGAATGTGGTCCACTTCTTATTCGTACTTATTTGAATTCGCGCGCCAAACGGTCGTTACCCGCCCTCGAGCCATCATTCGCCAAAGCAGAAATGGCGGAGTCCAGCCCGAGTTCGAGCCCCAGCAGCAGCGCGTCCCCCTCGCCCAAGTCGAAGGATGAAGTCGAGAGCGTCCAGGACGATGCGTCTATGGACGGAGGCGACTCGGTGGAGGACAATGACACTGCAGACGACGAAGATATGGACGACACTCCGGAGGAAACCAAGAAGACGCTTTTGTCCAAGGAAGAGCGGGAGGCGCTGCGTAGAGAGGAAGAGACTGTGCTTCAAGAACAGCGCGATCGTCAGAGCAAATCTTTGGACTTAGTCAAGCAGTCTCTGACTCAGGATGCTGAATGGGCGGGCAAGTCCGCTAGAGAGAAGAAAATGGCCTTCCTCATGGCTCAATCCGACGTTTTCACGTCCTTCCTCATGGGTGGCAGTAGTGCTTTGGGTAAGGAAATGTCCCGCACCAAGGCAGCCAAAGAGGCCGGCTCGAAGCGCGGCAAAGGAAGCAAACAGGCCGACGCTCAGGCGTTGCAGGATATGGACGATGCTCGCTACACGAGAATCACCCAGCAGCCGTCTATCATCAAGTTCGGTACTATGAAGCCATACCAACTGGAGGGACTCAACTGGATGATCAGACTGCACGATTCCGGCGTGAACGGCATCTTGGCAGACGAGATGGGACTGGGTAAGACCCTGCAGAGTATCTCTCTTCTGGCCTATCTGAGAGAGGCTAGAGGCATCGAAGGACCTCATATTATCATTGTACCGAAGAGTACAGTGGGCAACTGGATGAGGGAGCTCAAGAGATGGTGTCCGTCCATTAAAGCCTTCAAGTTCATGGGCAGTAAGGATGAACGTGCTGTGCAGAAGGAGACAGTCGTGAAGCAGGACTTTGATGCTCTGGTGCTGTCGTACGAGGTGGCTATTATTGAAAAGGCTACATTGCAGAAGATCAAGTGGAGATATCTGCTCATTGACGAGGCTCACAGAGTCAAGAACGAGAATTCCAAGCTCTCCAGAGTCGTGCGTGAGTTCAAAGTGGAGCACAGACTGCTAATCACCGGAACACCGTTGCAGAACAACCTGCACGAACTGTGGGCGTTGCTGAACTTCTTGTTACCTGATGTGTTCTCGGATTCTGAGGATTTTGACGCCTGGTTCAATGTAGACGAGCAGGAAGGACAGGAGAACGTGATTAAGAAGCTGCATACCATCTTACGACCATTTTTACTGCGTCGTCTTAAGGCCGACGTGGAGCACTCGCTGCCTCCGAAGATCGAGACCAAGCTGTACGTCGGTCTGTCCGAGATGCAGCGTGAGTGGTACATGCGCGTACTGCATCGTGACGCTACGCACCTCAACGCTATTGGTGGCAGTGACCGTGTGCGTCTGCTTAACATTTTGATGCAGTTACGTAAGGTGTGCAACCACCCGTACCTGTTCGAAGGCGCTGAGCCTGGTCCACCGTACCAGGAAGGTCCGCATCTTTGGGAGAATTGCGGTAAGATGACGCTTCTACACAAACTTCTGCCCAAGCTTCGAGCGCAGGGCTCGCGTGTCCTGATTTTTTGCCAAATGACGTCCATGATGGACATTCTCGAGGACTACATGCGCTACTTCGGTCATGATTATTGCCGTCTCGATGGATCCACCAAGGGTGAAGACCGTGACAATATGATGGAGGAGTTCAACGCTCCAGGAAGCTCCAAGTTCTGTTTCTTACTGAGTACACGTGCCGGTGGTCTGGGTATCAACTTGGCCACGGCCGACATTGTCATTCTATTCGATTCGGACTGGAACCCGCAGGTGGATCTACAGGCTATGGATCGCGCTCATCGTATCGGCCAGACAAAGATTGTGCGTGTCTTTCGATTCATCACGGACGGCACAGTGGAAGAGAAGATCGTGGAGCGTGCTGAACGCAAGCTGTATCTGGATGCCGCTATCATTCAACAAGGTCGTTTGGCGCAGCAGAACCGTAAGCTTTCCAAGGACGAGCTGATGACGATGGTGCGCTTCGGTGCCGACGAGATCTTCAATGCTCGTGGATCTATGATTACGGACGATGATATCGACGCCATTTTGGCTCGTGGTGAAGAGCGCACAGAGGCGATGAAGGGCAAGATCGCAGCTGATATGCAGCACAACTTGGCCAACTTCTCGTTGTCGGGTGACAATGGCAACGCCAGCGTCTCTAGTCTTTATGAATTCGAAGGCGAGGTGTTCTCGAAGGACACGAACAACGGCGACATCCTCCCGTCTACCTTCATCGCTCTCCCTCAGCGTGAACGCAAGTCCAACTACAATGAAGACGAGTACTACCGTCAACAAGCAGGTCTGTCCAAGCCCAAGAAGCCCAAGAAATCCGGATCTGACGCTGCCAAAGTGCCGGTTGTACACGACTACCAGTTCTTCCAGCATGAGCGTATGGTGGCTCTACTTACGAAGAAGACACAGGTCGAGAACCGACGGAAGGAGTTGACACGTCTTATCAAGGAAGCCAAGGCTGACGAGGCTCGAGTTAAGGCGCGCAAGGCCAAGGGAGAAGACTCTGCAGAGAACTCGGCGGAGGAAGGAGAAGGAGATGACGCGCGGTCTGCTGCGCTTGAGAAGGAGCTTAATGAGACGGAGATGGACGCTGCAGATGCCAAGGAGCTGGAAGAACTCGAGAAGGAGGGCTTTGGAGACTGGACTCGACGGGATCTGAAGCAGTTTATCAACAGTTGCGAGCGCTACGGTCGTGCTGACAAGACGCGTGTGTGCGAGGAAGTCTCGTTGGTTCTTGGGAAAGATCCTGTGCAGGTGGAGAGATACTACGACACGTTCTGGTCTCGCTACACTGAGCTGAAGGACCACGCCAAGTACATCGAGAAGATCGAGCGAGGCGAGAAGCGACTGGAGCGCAATGAAGTCGTGAAGCAGGCTCTTGCGCGCAAGTGTAGTCGCTACAGCCACCCGCTTCGTGACATGCGGTTGCACTATCCTGCTGGCTACAAGAGCAAGGGCTACATCCTAGAAGAAGACGTTTTCCTGGTGGTCATGATGAACAAGTACGGCCCGTTGGAGCACTGGGGGGAGATCCGCGATGAGATCCGCAAGGCCTGGCAGTTCCGCTTCGACTGGTTCTTCAAGTCGCGGACCATCGGCGAGCTCCAGAAGCGCGGAGAGCTGTTGACACGCATGATCGAGCGCGAGAACGACGAGCTGAAGAACAAGAGTAGCAAGGACGAAGACGATTTGGCTAAGAAGGCCAAGAAGAGCAGTTCGTCTAGTTCGTCCAAGTCTAAGAGCAAGAGCAGCAGTAGCAGCAGCCGCAGCAAGACGAGCTCGTCCAGCTCAAGCAAGAAACGCAGCAGTTCGTCCAAGTCTTCGTCGTCTTCGAAGAAGCAGCGCTCAAGCTAGAGAATGAGAAGTAGCGATCGTAACTCCTGTCTATTTTTCACGATTTCAACAACCTTTGTTCGTGTTACAAAGTTGAAGTTTTTAACGTTAGCCATTCATAGAGCTGGAGGTCTGATGTTGTCTCGGAAGGAGAGTCGAGACATCAGCATGATCCAGCCACTCGTAGAAGAAGAAGATGAAGAGGACGACGAGATGGACACGTTGGAGCAATTGGAACCACTGACCCAAAGTACAATGATGACAGTGGTTGAGCTCGAGCATATGAGTCCCATGCGTCCCCGACAGCATTTGATACGACGGTCCTCGAGTGCTGTAGAACGAGTGACAATGCCATCAACTAAAGAAGAAGTGGAAGATGGAGGAGACAAGTCACTGCGACCGAGGTTTTTACAGGAGCGGTCGGCTACTATTGTCCACATCACGCCTCAAGTGGCTGAACCTGTTCGCGCACCACGGTCGAAAGCTAGTGCTTTTCTGTTAGATGTGTTAGCGAAGTCAAGAGGGACCACAGCCGTGGAAGTCGGACGATTACCACTTGAACCGATACGCTCTGGAGTGACCAACAAAGTTCATTATGTCCCTCAGCACGAAGGAGAACGAGGAATACCGCTGCGAAAGACAGGAAAGAATCGTCGTCTTGGAAGGAAGGTGTCGATTGGCACGTCGTCAGACTTGATGGGGAGTGGAAAACCCGAGAGAACGAGAGAACGTCGTGTTAGTGCGAGTCAAGAGCACATGACTGCGATTGTTCGAGCGCTTCAAGCTAGCAAGCAACAAATGCAAGCGCAGCTGGACATTCTGCATAGTCTTCTTCGTTTTATCAATTCCAGTGCAAGGGATGAGCATGGACAGCGACCAGTACTCAAGGAAATGGTGGATGTGGGAATTATACCCGAGCTGGCAAGTACCATGCGCGAATTTCGCTTTAATACGTCCTTGCAGGTACAGCGAAACATGGAGATATCTGTGTGTGACGCGTTAGTTACTAAACTGAAGCTTGTTACTAACTAGCTTCCATTACACGCTGTAGGTCTGTGTGATGACCATTTTGTCAGCGCTGGTGGAAGAATCACCACTTTATGCGTATATGATGAGTGAGGTAAGTATTCTTTCTCATGTCTGTGCTAATGATTTTACTAACATTGCTGTTCAGTTCAACCTGGAAAAACTACTTCAGAAAACTGTTACTGTCCATGCTACACAAGACCGAGTCGTGATGTTGGCGTCGAACTTAGTTCGTGCAATTGAAGATTCCAAACACACTGTCAACATCCCTGCCTACCTAGCAGAGAAGGCAGCAAAAGCAAGTCAACAATCCTCAACTTACACGGACACAGTAGTTGCAGCGATTACTGCGAAGCCGAGACAATCGTTCTCGTCTCCGTCTCCAACTGCGAAATCTGCTCGAAGTCTAGCTTTGATCAGTAATGCCAGTTCTTCGGAGAAGAGAGGGCTTGAAATGGAGAATATCAATTTTAAGCAGTCAGCAGGACGACAACGTCAGGCGTTTTCACTCGACTTGGCTCCACCAGCGCTGAATGCGAACTACCGTTTGTTGACTTCACAAAAATTGAAAAAAGCAGAAGATCTGCAACTACCAGCCGATAGTAAAAAAATTCTCACATTCTCTGGGAATCATCAAGACAGACGGGATCGTCCATTGACAAGCTCGACAAGAAAGCCTTTACCACTTGATTTGACGTCTCGGTCTCTTGCGACAGCAATTTACTCTGGTGGATCAATATTTGTGGAACCATCGCCGCTATCCAAGAGGTTGTCATTCCGAGGAAGCTTTAGTGCCGGAGGTGTTCGGAGGAAGCTTAGTATCCCGAAAAATATTCAACGAGCACACACTGAGCGATTACCTCCGACACAAATTTCAAATAATTGGAGCCCTGCACAGACATTTGAAGAATCAGCGGTATCTTCACGTATAAAATCAATGGATGTAGAGACTTCACTAGCTAAGGACAAACCTATCGTGACCGATACAAAAGAAAGTGACGAATATGCAGAAGGTGAAATTTCAGTTAAGAATCAAGAGAAAGAGGAGAGTAATGAAAAAGAAGAAAGTGGAAAAGAAGAAGAGGATGAGTCATATGAAGACGATTTTGATACTACTGGTGACGATGCAGACGAAGTCAAATCGATGCCAAGTCGTCAAGGCAGCAGCCAACTTGGATCGGATGGCGAGCTCATAGATATGCTAACCGAAATCAATGCGGCCACGACCATACAGTGTCATGTTCGGGGACTATTGGTTCGTCGGGAATACGCTAATAAAAATGAACCTAGCAAAAACGCAGAGCCAGGACTTGGAAAAAAGGCTTCGCGGGTGGCCAGTGGTGGCAAAAGTGGAAGGCGGGGTTCTAAAACCAAAGGAATCAACGGAAAGCGCGCATCATTCTCTGCCAGACACCTTCAAAATCACAGTACCAGGAAGCTTGAAAGTTTGCGAACTGAAACTGGAATCCGATCGGCAACACGAACAAGGCCTGCGACTGCAGTTTCTCCAAGACCTTTTACGTCACACCAACAGATTTTGAATTCGAAGCAAGGCAGTGTGAACGATGGCATCGGTGTAAGACAACGAGCCGCAAACCTTAATGATCTACAGCGAGGTTCAAACAGGCTATCACATCAAGGACCTTCAATGTCCAAGCAAGTCTTTTCGTCTACACGTAGTTTGAATGAAGTCGAACCCGAGCACAAGACGGGAGAATCTGACGTGGCGAACGAACCTCCCGATCCCGAATCATTGAAACAAATCCAGACATTGTACGCCGAAGGCTTGCAGCACCACAAAGAGAACCACCTCGGCCTTGCTATCGATTGCTACGAGAAAGCGTTAGCCCTTCCTGGTGGACAGAGTTTTGCCTCTCTTCATGTAAATCTAGGATCTGCGTTGATGGCCCAGACCAAATTTCCAGAAGCGCTCGAGTCGTTCAAACAGGCCAAGCGCATTCAGCCCAACAACGTCAAAGCGATCTACAATTATTCAGTAGCCTTACTACACTTGGATCGACCGCAAGAAGCGCAGCATCTGGTACGCTTTACCCTTTCCTGTAGAACCGTCAGCAAATTGACAATCTTGTGCTCTTATGCTCAGTTACGCCGCATTCTGGAGCTGGATCCGACTCACGAGAAGGCTACCATCGCGCTATCTCATCTACGAACGCACGTAGGCAGATAGACAACATCATAGAAGCAAATAAATACACACAAACTCAATGTAAAGCACAAATTCACGACGACCAGTATATTACGCAGAGCTTTGCAACCAAACTAGCTTCATCAGCCCCATTCTTCCGGGTTTTTCATTAAAAGTGCCAAACCGAGTCAGCTAGCCTATACTACCTCCAATGTTCGCCTGGAGTGTTCGTCAGGACTGTCACTGCTCTCCGTACTGCTGGCGTATTCCTCTTCCTGCAGCTTCTGAGGCGTCGACACACGGAAGACAAACGACTGCGCCACAATATCGTGCTGGCGAGGGCTGCTGAGGCTGATGGGCATGGCGATCGAGTATTTGACAAAATTGCCGAACTTCTCGTGCTTCGAGACCAGATAGATACCCACTGCCACCAAGAGAATAGCAGTAGGGAACATAACCCACTGGGTTTTGGTGAAGTTGCCTGCCTGCTGGAAGAACACGACGCCGCTGATGTTACTCATGGTGATCCAGAAGCCCTGGAAAACAGGGTACGACGACATGGTGTCTCCGCACATGGTGGCCAGGTTGAGTGTGTGGGTCTGGGTCAGCAATGTGGCCGCCATACCCGCACACAGTACATAAGTACCAAAGTACTGAAATTGGTTATCACCCGACACGGTAGAGGAGATGAGTTCCACCACACACTTGGCGAGCAACACTGACTGGCCGCCAATTGTACCGGAGATAGCAGCCCAATATAGTGGCAACTTTGGGTCGATAATGAGCGTGTGTTTCTCGATCTCGCTCTCGTCGTACTTGCCGACTTTGAGGCTCGACAACTCGATTTCGTCCAAGTGATCACTCACGTCGTTGTCCATGGGGGAGAGTGACAAATGATTACCGAAAATGGGCGACGGGAAGGGCGACATCATGGCTCCCTTGCTCTTACTTGGTTCATCCAACGCCGGCGACCCTTCCGAGTTCTTTTGCTTGGATGCGAGCTCACGTTTCTTCTCCTGTACGTCATCCACACGCGCATCTTCCTTGTCGTTGCTGGCTACACGCAGTGCTGGGGCTTTAGAGCGACGAGCACGCATGTACAGCGTCATACAGAAAGCTGTCGTAATGAGCGCATAGAGAATGAAAGGCGCGGCCTCCATAAGAGCGTAGATCTGGTCCATCTGGTAGTGTCCCTCGTCCTCTTCACTCGCAGCAGCGAGCACCACGACGCCCAATGACACGAAACCGACGCCCACAATGTCCGTCAAGTACAGACTCTGCTTGAGCCAGAAGTGCGACATCAGACAGTTGCCCAAAATGGTGGAGCCACCGCCAAGTGAGGCCACGAGTGTCTGTGGAGCGAAACCGAGCGCCAAAAAGTCGCCGAGAGACGCCCCAACGACGCAGATCATACCCACCCACCAGATCGGACGCATTGTGTACGGGCGCTGTACGGCGCGAAGCTCCTCCTTGTCATGCGAGTATTTCTGCAGATTCACACCGAAGATGGACATGAAGGCCGAGATCACGGCGATGGTGCCGCCGATGAAGTCGCTCTTCATGGCTACGCGAGGGTTCCTGGACTGGTAAGCGGACTGCGCTTTGAGGGCCCGACGGCGCTTTCTCGAGTGCCTGACTGACTCGAAGGGACGACGTGTGGCGAGAATACAAAAGTTGGTACGGACGGAGTGAGGGCGGAAAAACGGGTCACCTTGATTCAGCAACCGGTGATAATGGATACAACGGAGAGTTCTTAACTGGCAACGGATGGCTGCGTTATACCCGCTCTGATCCCCGAGTATCAGTTGCATTTTGGCATAGAAATCCAGCTCAAAGTGCAACCGCCGGTGATGGCTCCAGCACGTGGTCTTCACGTCGAAAGTTTGGAAAAGGCAGAGATGGATGGTTTCGCGCTCCAACGACTCGGCAAGGTGTATTCACTACGGACGAACGGACGACATTTTTGTCGTAACACTTTCACATCAGGCGCCAGTATCCTCGCGTTCCCTATATGGTGAAAACGATAGAAGTGGTGACATCGTCGAAGTTCGTCTCCAAGTCGTCGCGTGTTCGAGTCAACCATGGACCAGCTCACCACGCCAGTGCGGCCTCTTGGCTGGCTTCACGCCAGCTGCGCGGCGTTATGTGGTAGTAGCCGACAGGAGTCGCACCATGCACCGCACGGTCCAGCCAATCACTAGCATCCACCGCATCCCACCTCGCATCCATTGGCTAAAAAACAATTAGAACATGTGGACCACAGCAATAGGCTCTGAACGACTTCAAACTGAGCGTCAAGATTGCCATCAACTGTGGAAGCAGCTGATGTGGATGCATGCATCGCCACCAGACTCGAACGGCTGGGAGCGGCTCGATCTTACGGGTGTAGCAGAAGTCTGCTCGTAAATGGATACTGTAGCATAATATCGACAAGTAAAAGCCTGTACTCAAGCATGCTTTCGATCGTAGCAGAAAAATCCCGGTCCGAAACGTCCACGACGGTTATCTGGGGTGCTGACGCCCTGCGACATTGAGGTTCACAGGAAGTGCGCTCCGTTGATCGATGTCAGTTGGTTTTGCTGATTTGGTACGAGCGGAATGCTCGATTGAGGTGGGATGGTTTTCGGTGTGATCGACGACGATAGTGCACCCGGCTCAAGTTTCCATGCTCGAACGTGCAGTAGCTGAGGAAGCTTTCAATGGACTTTGCTAGTTTTGTAAAACTTTTTAAGGCAGGTACCAAAGAGCTTATAAAAACTACATGTAGACACTGGCCATCATCACTACGTACCTACTGTAACGCTGCAAGGTGTCTCAACGCTCTTTGCTGAAAATCGTTGCGAACCGCCGTAGGCGGTCTGTCGTCAGCAACCGTGAACTCATGATGGTCTTACTTGAAGTCTGCCTGCAGTATTTCAAATGCCTCAGCGTGGTGGTAAACAAACGCTAGCATCGAGGTTTTAAACTTTTTTAAACTCCCGAGTGGCGATCAACAATGGCATGGGGGGGGGCATGTTAGACGGAATTGAGAATATATTCCGTGTTTTCATAGCAATTATTGATTCTGCCTGGCAGAGAATAAGATCAGTAATTGATTATTTTATATCCTGGGACCCCTGTATTTTATTTCTTATTTTGTGCCACACACACTAGGGCACGATTGTACGGAAAATACACAGAAATATTATTTAGTATATGAAATATTAATTTCTCGGCTTCTAGAAAATTGTGGAATAGCTTACGGCTCGTATACTTACAGTAGTATACTTAGTATTTTTGCTAAGTATTCGAGACGAGAAAAAAAACATATTTCTCATATAAAGTGTGTTTTATGTGTAATTATCTTTATTTATCTGAATTAATGTTGCATTTCAAAGCATTGGTTGTAGAACCTTGCCGTAGACAGCAACCTAGCTACCGATATATTGGTTCTTTCTTCTCTTCGCCTCATTTTCGTATCATCATGGCGACCAACAACCATTTATCCCGGACCAAGGCTGCAGCTACTTTATAAGATCATCCTAGACGATTAAGACGAGCCAACTGTCCATTTACGGTGCTAGTGCACTGTCGTGCGGAAGCAAGCACCTAAGACATGCTAAAGCAGCCTGTTTGATCATGTCCTGAAGTGGCAACCGGACTCGTGGCTCCTAAGATGACAAGTGGCACCAATACCGCTACGCCGGTCAGCTTTATTGACCAAAAGTCTCAGACGGTTCTCTGCTGGCTTCACTGTATAACTGCCTGCAATATCCCTTTTTCGTGGTGCAAAAATGCTAATGTGGTCAAGTGCACCAAATTGGAGAAGATTCCGACGGAAACCTTCTTAGGTACGCCGGCTTGGTCGTGCGAGAGGTCGAAATCGACATCGGATTGGCATTTCCCGTCAAATTTGGCATCATGTTTGACGGGTGGACGTTCCTACCGGTGCACAATCTCGTAGTGTTTGCCATTCTTGAACACAATGGCTGCGCTGACAAAGTGCTACTTCATTCGCTCCACTGATTGATGACGAAGCCAACGGTCGCTCTGCTAGTCACGTTAAATTTCTCGAAGGGGTACCCGCTTTTCAACCGAGACATTGCCGACACCAACTACCTCGTTGGTTCCGTAAACACCAATCATTCTCATATCTGGCTGGCCCACCCATTGGCTGTGCATCGCACCGCCTAATCCTCGCCGTCTAGAGGTTCATGACCGACTAAGATTCCCTGTTGAACAAGATTCAGGACCTGATGCGTAAATTATGCAATATTAACCTATGGCAAAATCTCGGTAAGAATTATTGTGTTTTGAATGGCTCGTTTTATTTTTATTGGAAATGTTTTGAATCTCTATTTTTTTTTGTTTTTAGAAAAAGCACTTCTTTGAGACCTGTGTTGCGCCAAGCGACACGCTGGGTCACGCTGCTTGATGTTTCGCGACATTTTTGACGCTGTCATCAAGCGGCATCATTCTGCCGCAGTGTCCTTGGCGCCGGACGCGTCGTATGCGGCGGCGGCAACTAGGAAAAAGAAAAACAATCGCAGTGTTTGAGAACGCTTGCGTGAAGGCCCTGCTTGGGAAGGGTACGGAGCTTACTGCAATGGAGCAAATTTTTTTGGCTCCGTTTGTGAAGCCAGTGGTGGGTCGTCCAAACAACCGTGATGAAGACAACAGCACCGTGATGGCTTTGCTGATCCCGCTCTGCGTGCGCTCAAGAAACAGCACGTGGCGGAACGAGTGTATAGTGGCGTCCAGTTCATTCCGCCCACCTCGAATGCAGTTGACCGGCTGTTTAGCAAGGCTCGCCATCTTCTGTGACTTCATTGCAGCAGCATTCTAACCATTCCACTTGAAATGATGTTGTCTCTCAAGGTGAACCGCCGCTTTTGGGAAGGAGCGACGATGTCGAATATGTAACGGGGTTACACGGATTTACACCTGGTGTGTTCCACGCATGGGTGCGGAGTACCCGGTGAGTTAACAAACCCTCAGTACATGACTCGTAGAGTTAACAGTGGCCTCAGTACATA